AAACATGACTGAATTGAATCCAAGTCATGCATTACAATGTAGATTGTAAGTTCTTGTGGTGGCAAACTGTTAGATCGGTATTGGCTGTAGTAAAGTGAAAGAGGATGGCCCTTACATTATACCTAGATGTCTAGGGACAGCAGGCATTATTCTCCTCTAATACCAGTGTAACTGCATCTACTTTGTTGCATTTATTCCTGTTTAACACTGGTGCAAGTGAAAGGAGAATAACCCCATAGTGTGTATGGAAAGAAAGCTAATAGATATGTTTATCATGTGAAGAGTCTCTGTCCACTGAATTCTTGGATGTTGTTCCCTAATTCTTTTCATATGTGTGAGTCACATACATGGAAATGATAAGACTGGGGATATACTCAAGAAGACCCTTTTTGTCGTGTACTACTTGTACTGACAAATAATAGGGGGTACGGGATTTGAAAATTTCATAGTGCTTCAGTGACCCTTAGAAGATGATGAACGCAATATATTCCTGTACATTCATTGATTAAATATGGGTTGGAGGTTTGCGAAGTGCAGAGTTTTGGAACATCTTAACTGCGGGACTTCACCATCAGTACAAATGGCTCCAGTAACCAGAGGCACTCAAGGACGAGGATTCCATTCGCGCTTGCATTTGTGCATTGAGCAGAAGGGTGTGATGCATGATCTGGAATGAACAAAATAGCTTTGTGTGTAGGAAGATGCCAAGTTAATGAAAATTCAGAAAGCTTTCATTTTGAAAATTGGCACAAAGTTTTCGAGAGAAACAACCGCTGCCAGTAGTTTCAAGATTACTGCTATCTTGAATTTTCTGTTTATTGCGTACTGCAATTAAACCTCTTTTGAACTGGAACACCAGTGACAAATTAATACTCCCCTTTGGGAAAAATAAGCACATCTTATTCCATTTAGCACCATTGTGGGCCTGATCTTGATCCAAATAAACTCTCACACACTCTGACTTGCTTTAATAAGGTGAGCAGGCTGTGGCCTAATATGTTTGGCCTTTTATACATAATTGTAAGAATCTCAGTACAATAAATTAAAGTAATATTACCACCTGCTCTGCAATCATTTTATTTTCCTTTTATTTAGTGCTGAGCTTTTACATTTATTCTGTAGTCAAAACTGTCATCAAATGAAAGTATAATAGACCTGACTATCCTTACAGTTAGATTCATATCAGTCAGCAGAGGATCAGACCTCGTTTGTGACCCCACAAAGTTCAAAGGACACTTAACTTTGCTACTGTCCTGTAGCAGGGTGAAATCAGGCAAGAATTGTGACTCAGGAATGCCTTTGTGCCAACGTCGCAGGGAATAGTGCAGCTTAAATGTTACTTTTGTCCAGGGCTATTGAAATGTAGTCCTTCCGTTTTTAAAAACCACCGTGTTATCAGGTATAAAATGTAAGACCTCTAAAACAAGCCAGGATTTTTAAACTTGCATGCCAAACCTTGGACATCTAAATTCGTATTTAGTCACCTGCCAACCTAGCTCCTGCCACACACTTAATATTTATCTCCGCAAAACCCCCACGAGGGAACAAAGTACTGTTTAACAGAGTGGCCTGATTTTAGAGGTGCTGGCATCATGCAACTCCCGATTAAATCAGAAAGGCTTCTTGCATAAGTAAGAGCTGTAGCATCTAGCCCCACGTTTTTTCTGGATGATTCAGCTGGAGGCCTCTGTGGTTTTACTTTCAGTTCCTGAATGAAGCGAAATAGAAAAACCAGCAATTAAAAGAAAAAAAACTGAGTGAAAAAATAGAAGAGAAATGTATCAAATGGATGGACTAAAACATACACAGGATCTATCAGGCACATTAACCAAACATATCATGGTGCTAAATAAGAGGGTTTTTTTAATTAAAAAAAACCCAGAAAAAACCAACTGACATTCCTGGCAGTCTCAAGGATGATGTGACATGGCTGTGATAAATTTAGAAGAATGGGACATATTTTGGCTTGTTCTTGGAAACCTCTTTCTTGCATGTGGACTGTATTTCTTCTTTTATTAACCCAAGCAAAGAATGTCTGAATTTTGCTGTAAGAGCACCATGCTGGCGCACCATAAAATGTGAATGATGCTAATTGCTTTGCACTGCCTAACTTTTGCCATTCCCCTCCCCTCTTAAAGGACAAAACATGCTTTGAAAATGAGTTGGCAGCTCATCTCCTGTGCTGCTTGTGGTCAATATTAAGTTAAGTAATGAAAATCTTGTTTGAATGTTCTTCTGAACTAGGAAGCAGCCATTTTTTTCTTGCAATCAAGTAGGTGTAATCACTTGTAGTAAATAAATAATTTAGGGGGGGAAATGTAACGAGTTAAAAAATGAGAAACTATATTGTTTCAAAAACAGCATTCAATGGCAAGAATAAAAACAACAACCCCTACGTAAACATTTCTCTGCCTACCTATTGGTTCTTTCATGGCTAAGTGCACATTAGAAATTCCAATTACACATTATAATAGCAATGTTGACCTTCTAAAAACTACCCCCCATCCCCTGATGATGACGCCACTCAGCACTGTCATTGTGCAAGATCATTTGGCATGTTCATTACAAGTTGAAAACTCCATTGCTCAAATTGGCATTTGGTTGAAAGTTGATATATATATTTCCTTAGCTCAAAAGGGATTTTCTATACATATAAAAATTAGTGATATCAACTAAATCAATTTTAGTGCAAGAAAAGAAGGATATTTTATTGGCTGGCTCAAAGGCTTTGTCATACCACTCAAGAAGCAATAGAGACTGTATGAAAGTGTGGCACACATTCTCCCCATACGAGAGTTTATGATCACAAAGAAAGTAGTCTCTGTGTATGCCTTAGTATAAATACTGTGATAGACACTAGCCTTTGCGTGTCTGTGTTGTGGGGTGCTCCTCCTCATGCATGGCTGTGCCAGCACTGGGAAGGACACATCTTCCTTAAAGTTTGACCATCTCCTTTAATTATACAGTTGGTCCAGTAAACGCTATCGCACACAAAAAAACACATTTACTACAGCACTGAGGGCAGTCTGGCCCATTGTATATTAAGTGCACATCCATATTTAGGTAGTGTGTACCTGTCATACACAAGGATACAACAGGAACACTTGACATTGTCTCTTGTAATGGGCATTGTCCTTATTGAGAAGAATGTCTACTGGCTGTAGAAGAAAACACTTATAATTTTTAGTGTTGGTAACATATGTCCACATAACAACTGTTAAAATTGTGGGCAGAGCCTAAATAAACTCCCCCCTATTTATGACATCCAAGTCCACATTCTCCTGGGCAGCTAACCATAGGATGAGGTGCATTAGCACAGTTTGCATAAAAAAGGTTGCAAACATTTCATTCAAATGCATCAGACTTCATTCTACCTCTTTCGCTCTCTCTCTCCCCTTTGCCTTAACTGAACCAGCACTATTTTCAGCAGTAGCAAAAAAACACCAGGAGGCAATTCCTGATCCTGTAACTTTGTTGCAATAGCCTATCAATGCTGAACTTTTATTTTTAAAAGAAATTTAGTTTCTAATGTTTTCTTGCCACAAAGAGAAAATGCCACAAAGTGAAATCTTAAAAGACAGTCATAGCTGGGAAATTAGGATTTAACCTATTGCCCAACTTTATTTAACTTACTGAGATGTGAACAGTAATACTTAATTGGAACCATTTAGACCCCGATTGTGCAATATACAATGTGCAAACAGACAGCTGAGGGTTGTAAATTGATGTCTCGGGGACTATAAAGCTGATGCTATTAAACACAAACATTTTTCTTTTTTCTATTTACTTTAAAAAATAAATTAATTGAATGCAGACTCTAAGTCAGTACAATATTACAGTCTTAAACTAATTAAAAATGAAGGAATGTAAAAGTTAAAGTTCCAATGGCAACTTGTCTTGATCTTATAAGATATACATAAAACATTCTCTTCCATTTTCCATAAATTTATGCTATTAAATATAAAGGATCGGATAAGAGGCCAAAGTGACTTGCTATTGGAAGTTCTATTTATAAGGATTTCTGCATTTTTATTATTTCAAGTTATCTCATCAACTTTGCTTTATAGTTTCTGCATATCTGTCCATAGATAGATATGCTGAAAATTAAGTATATATATGCATTGTGGATGATCAGGATGTGTGCATCTCAATTTTGTAGAGATACAGATATTGTTATATACATAATATGAACAATCTGTATATATAGTGCACATTCTCTATTCTAGCATAGACAGCATGTAAAGGATTGCAAAACATCCATCCTACCAATTTTTCTAAATTCATGTCAGAACTGAGTGGAACACAGGGTTGATCCATTCTCTTCATATTATGTCAACAGAAAAAGTTCAGCTAGAAAAATATCTCAAAGTAATCATATTAACGCTGCAGTTGTCATTCTGTTTTCCACTGCAAGTTTTTGATAGATTCCCTGGGTAGAATAACTGCCCTAAAATGTTGTATATGTGGCTTTTAATATAAAGACACCTACGTTCACATTTCTTAAAAAGCAAAAAGTAACCCCATGAATAAATTATTTTTAAAAACTCTGCCAGCTTAGTCTGGACTATCAGAGTCCAGACTAAGCTGGCAGAGGGTAAAGAAATTTAGAGTTTGGATTCCAGCTTCTTCATTCTCTGTCTATTGGTTGTTTAGTTCATTTAAAATATCAGTCTGCAATAAGCTAGTAAAGCCCGTGTGATCCAGCCCTCACAAATAAAATAAACTGCAGTTTTGATAATAATGAGCCGCATCTTATCCATACTACAAATTTAAAAGAAAAATCTGGCTGCATTTTAGTACTTATTGTGTAGAGCAAACCATGGCCACCTCTTCTCCCAAAACAATCATAAATATAAGTGAGCCTTCAACTTGCTGTTGTATTCAATTTTATTTTGTCCTTTAAGTTTATCTAGCTGCTTCTGCACCCACTTTCACAATGCATAGGCTGTCGTTCCATGACCTAGCATTATTAAATTGCACTTATCAATCATTCTTGCCAGGAATGCCATCGCCAACTACATTAAAGAAGTCAGAGAAGTCTGGTTTCAGCAGTCCCTCGCCTTCGCAGACCTCCTCCCTTGGAACGGCATTCACACAGCATCATCGACCTGTCATTACAGGACCCAGAGGTGAGGCCTTACCCAAGAGCCCCAAGCAGCTTAAACTTTAGCCTCAGCACCCTGTGTCAGAATGATTTTCTGTTGTCCGTAGCCACCAGAATGATTTTCCATTGACCGTAACCATTGAAACGTGTTATACATGAGAAAAGGTTTTTCTTGCTCAAAAGTCAATAGGCTTATAGTTTGGTAGGTTGTAGTTCTTAAGAATCATGCTTGGCTTTGTTACTTTACTCTATTTGTTCAAACATCTGATGATAGTTCAACATGTCCAGAGTCGTCTTTATAAGAAAATCACAGGATGTGGTACTTACTGTGTGTTCTTACTATCTGTGTTGAGATAGATTGGATGTTTTGTTTCTATGCTTGAGATAGGGAATCTTCATTCAGCATCTAAATCACATTTATCTTTTCACAGTCCTGTTTCTTCCTCCTGTGTCATTTTATATTCATATTATTGGAACTAGTGTGCTGAAGAACTACCCTTGTTAGTAGACTCCTTGGATGTTGTAGCTTGGTTTCTACAACAGTTTGGCTGGTTTTCTTCACAAAATTTACTGATTTTTTCCCCCCAAAAAGAACAGATGTTCTCTGGGTCTCCATGTGCTTGCAAAGATATCTCTACATTAACCTAGAAAAATAAATATGACACAGAATTCATATTAGAAAAGGAGTGCCTATGTGTGTTTAATCGTGTTCAGAAACGAGTGGATCTTTTGGCTAATCTTTTTGAAGATATAAAAATGTGAATGAATAATCACCGCTCTTGGATTTTGCTTCTTTTAGAGTAGATAATTGTTGGCTATGTCAGCTGGTGAGTGGGGGAACTCAGACCTGGATGAAAGAAGGTCCACAGTTTCTTTATAAAGTGTCCTTTTTAGACTTCCTATGGTCTTGTTTATATTAGTCCAAACCAGGAGTAATCCCATTGTCGACATAGTATCAGTTGATGAAGCATAAATCAGTGAAATTTTACCAACCTAAAACTGACAAAGGTTGAAATCAGGCTTAGCGTTTCTTTGAAGTTTAAGGAATTCAAAACACACTGGATTTATCACTTGTGTAAGGCTTTTTGCTGTTGACTTTTATAAAAATGATCTTTTTTCCCCTGCAAAGACTAGGGTCAAGATCCTCAAAGGTATTTACTACCTGAACTCTTAATTAGACACCTAAATATGTTTGAGGATCTGGGCCTACACTACCAGGCAAGCATATGATATCTTTAAAAAACCTTGATAATTGGTTATAATAACAGGCATGATATGAAAATTACGGTATATTCAGCTGCAAATCAATCAACTCTACCCCTTCCTTTTAAAAAAAGTTTCTGCCCTTTACCACCTGTTTTGTTTGCTGGTTACCAAATCCCATTCAGTACAAAGTTACGTTTTGTCTGGTACCCATTTTATTTTATCTAAAACAATCCAGGTAATTAAACACCCTAACATGCCCTTATTTACACCTTGTGCATTTTTCATTTTATGTGGTTTAAGCAAAAATCTTGCTTTGCAATCCTGTTTAAATTGAATCTAGAATCTCTTTTGTGACATTTATTGTACAGTAAGTAAGTAGGGACATCCTGTCCATTATGTGAGGAGGCTGTCTTCAAGGATACAGAGAATTTGAAAGAGAAAATGATAATGATTTTCCTTCCTGTTATTCTTAAATGGGGGAATAAACCCTTATACTGACTCTGTCAAACAATGGTTTTCAACCTTTTCTAGACTCAAAGCAGGCTTCCATCACTTTTGTGAATTGAGCGGCACCCTATTTCAAAAACTAACCAATTTATTACAGTGCTTACCTTCTTGCAGTGGGTTCAGGCAGTGGGGGCAGATCAGAAGACTGCCAGGGATGAGCTTATCTGCTTATTTCCTCATATCTGGCTTATCCTCTCCCACCTCCTGGCACCCTGCAAAGGATCTCATAGTGCCCTGGCATGCTGATTGAGAATCACTGCTATAGAAAACTTTCATAGTTCCTAACACATTACGCAAAAACCTGCTTTTTTTCAACGTCATCCAGACAAGTTTCATTCCACTTTGTTCACAAACAGTTTGGCAGGGTGTTCAAGAAGAATCCCACTCTAACTCTCTAAATTTTGTCCTAAACCTCTTAAGAATAGCATCCAGTAAGGGTCTAGTGCTCAACTTTATTCCTCTGCAAATACACCTCATTCCCCAGATGTACAATCAAGGGAATGGAAGCTTTACCGGCATAAACAGGAGAAACATAAGGAACAATACCATCCCTATATGAAATGAAATCATGTTTCCCAGGCAGTGCTCATGTACAACTGTCTGTTGGAAGTTACAGCCTTGCAGCAAGATAGTAAAAGCATTGCACACTGCATATTTACCTTGCATGATGGGAATCTCAGCTTTCACATTACATTATGGTCAGCCACATGCAATATTTTAAATGTGTTGTGGGAAGAGTATGGTGCAATGAGTACTCCCCATTCTGCTGAGAAGAATCTGGGAGAAAGGAGTAGTATGTAAGTAGGTCACAGCTAAAATAAACCTCTGAGCCAACCAAACAATTGTGCAGGGATCTATTCTCCTTTTGATGTGTGTGTGCGCAAACATTTCACATTAACATGAATACATTTTACTTGCGCGGTGAACAAAGTAGGTTACAAGAGAAGAGGCTGTGGAGTATTTTAGTTATGTGCCACTTAGCAGCCCATTGCTTTTAAGTTCTTCAGCATATTCTTGCATCATTCCCAGGCTTCCAGCCATTCTTTGGACCCCTCATAGAGTGTGCTTCTTAGTCTGCAGACAAGCAAACACCAAGAAAGCCTTTCCCAGCAGTCTGCAGAATGAAGCCTCCTGCGAACAAAGAGCAGAGTGGAGGAGCAGATCCGTTACGGGATCTCTCCCTTCGGAGGTGTACCACAGGACTAAACAGCAGGAGAACCTCTGTTCCCACGATGAGGGATGCAGCAAGCAGCTGCACTATGCTGCTGAAGTCTGTTTATAGTGGCTTCACCTCTGTCAGTGCTGTTGCCCACATTCAACTTAGCTATGCCATGACCGGCTGAGAGGTTCTGCAGCCAGTTAACCAGAAGACCAGATGAGTGCCGGCCCAAGGATGCTTACGACTGATTAGTTCCAGCGGATGGTGGCAAGATTATCAAGATCATTTGATGCTAAGTAACCAAAGTGCTTCATGCATCCGTATTTGCTTAGGGCAGGTTTTCTGGAGATGACTCGTTGAATATACTAATAACTTCTCCAGACCAATGTAGCTAAGGCTCAGACTAAAGCATCTGGTGGCATCACTTGCAAGCTTAATTTTAACACAACCATCAACTTTAAATTCCATTTTAGAGCTTTGAAAATTCAGGCAGCTAAGAGTTTTTAGAACAATAGGTTAATATTACACAAGAGTGAGGCTGTGTTTGGTTGTCAGCATCCTGTCTTATAGTGCTTACAGATTGCAAAGCCATTGCATGTTGCTAGCATCCTTGTTTATAATCTTTAACAGACAAGAATACTATGGGTGCCAGCAATATTTGGGCTACATGTGTGCTTTAATGTACGGTAGGCTATTTTACTGTGCATTAAACATCAGGTATAAAAACATGCAATTATACTAATGCACATTAAACAGGCTATTGTGCGATAAATAGGCTATTGTGCGTTAAGCACCATTTTAAAACTGTGCCCATTCGTTAGTGCACGTTAAGGCAGCCTAATGCACATTTGTTTAGTACTTCATATTAGAGAGTGCCTATGCATGAACCAGGAGGCTGCTCCGACACTATAATTACAGCGTATCAAAGCAGACTCGATTAATCAATTTGCAGACTTGATTAACTGTGTCTGCCGTAGCGTAGTAATTACTGTGCTCCAGCTAGCTTCTGTGTCTCATGTATCAGTGCCTGTGCGCTTCAAAGTGGCTGCGGGGGCATTTTAACTAAAACTCATTTGATGAGCTTTAGAAAAAAACGCCCCTGCCGCCATCTTGAAACACAGGGATGCTGATACACAAAATGCTCCCAGCGCTTTAATTAGAGCGGCACTCGGAGCTGCTCTAATTAAAGTGCCCACCCCACCACACACACTCCTGGAGCATGTGTAAAATGCCCAGAGGTACTAAATTGAATGTGCAAAAGTGTCTTAATGCATGTGTAGATATGTCCAGTGTGTTGCTATTTACACTTTCCTGCCAGGTCCAGGTATAAAGTCACCATAGTTAAACCAACCATGATAAAGTGATCTTAGATTATATAGCGGCCCATGTGGATATGTACCGTACCTCTGTATTTCACACAGTGTGACTTATAATTCCTTGCAACCAAGAAAAGGACAGAAACAAAGAAAGGGAGGAAGAAAAACAGTGTTCAGAAATGAAGGGGAGACATATGTGCAAAGGACAAGAGACATGGCAGATAGTGAGGAACCTGAAGAAATGGGTATGCAGGCAGAGGAGAGAAGGGCAGGAAAATGACAGGTAGGGGAGTCGCTGCATTAATGTTGTTCCACCCACGTAACACAGCATTTCTGCTGAGACTTGGAAGTGGGCTTCAAAACCCTTTCTGTTGGTGGCCCACTGCACTACAACACGCAGGGTTGCATCTACACAAGACTAATTCTGCTTTTCATTAGCACATCGTGGCAAAAGCTGTACTATTTTACTAATGCAAAGTAGAATTAGTCTGCTGTGCATTAGGGTCACTAAAAGGCATGTGCCTTTTATTACAGGCACTAAACTTAATGCACAATACCTATGGCACATTAACGCACATGTAAACGCTGCCACAGTGAATCAGTTTGTGAACGTCAGAAAACCCACTTTAAAACCCGCAACCAAAACAGAATATTTTGAAAAGACACATTCCAGACAGGACTGGCTCCTACCCTTCCTAAGAGTGGACACCAGCAAGTGAAACAGGGTGAATATATCCAAACTAGATCTTTTGATGTAAGACATTGAAAGCAGCAATCCAAACAGCTGTGCCACAACAGGCAGATGTCATACAGTCTATGCAGGGCCTGGATATAATG